TATTTGCAAGGTATGAGAAATAATTAATAAAATATTACTAGTTATTTTTTATATACTATAAAAACATTTCATCATTCATCCTTTAACCTTTTGCAAAATAAAGTTTTTGAGTTACATTTGGTTAATATTTTAAAATAAAAGATCAAAATAAATGTACAAACATGATATAAATGTATTTAATTAATGTGATAAAAATATAAAACAAATTCATATTTATAATAATTTTTAAATGATTTTTTATATATTTTTTAAAAAACACAAAAACATATCTTCATATCTATTTTTTATATTTCCAGACCATAATCAAATGGAATTATATTATATTATAGCCTAGAGGTGTCTTCCATTCTCAACACTGGCACAAATAAGAGCTTGGGAAGCCTGGTTTGAGATTGTATCTCATAATATTTTATGGGATACTAGTAAATACGAGAGTGACATAATATTTTATGGGATACTAGTAAATATGAGAGTGATTATTTTTTAAAATAATTTTTATTTTAAAAATTATTTTTAATATAGCTAATAAAATAACTTTAAAATATAATAAAATTAATTTAATTTATTTTTTTCTTTTCAAAAAATTTCCGTCTCGCATCACCTCATACCCAAATACACGCATCTCACATCACCTCAAATCCCAAACAGACGCTTAAACCCACAAATACTCTCACTATCTCTTCCATTCGCCTTAAAACTCCCACCTCTATCTGCTTCCTCGACACCAACTATAAAAACTCATCCTTCTCTCTCTGTTCTCTACAACAAGACAAGGCCTATACCTTCGAGCTCCTCATCAGATCTCTCCATCTGTAAAGTGCAGACACCACCTGAACCACCCCATCAAGACAAAATGCCACCACACACCACCATCACCACTACATGAACATTCTTCACTCACAAGCAAAACAGATTATAATACGGGTGTATGCTCTTGTTATTGTTTGTTTTACTAAATGAGGTGCAATAAACACCCGTGCGACCTCAGCGGCAGCGTGGGCGTCTGCGCTTCTTGTCTCCGAGAACGCTTGTCTGCATTAATCGCTGCTCAGGTTCAAATACAGCAGCAGCAGCAGATAGCACAATTAGCAAAGGCACATCATCACCCACGCGCCGCCGCAGTTATAGACGAAAGCCGCAAATCAGATTCTAATTCTCAACATCATCAACAACAACAACTACCTCCTCCTTTGATATTTCCCCTCTCTGTTTCTCCTTACGTTTCTCGCCGTAAATCTGACGACCGCTCCTCCTGGTCCGCCCACAACCAACACCACAACCTCCGTTTCTACAGCACTCCTCAGGTGGGCCCTACCTACACCACCACCTCTTCAGCCACAACAACCGCAGCGTATAAGAAGCGAAACAAGAAGTTATCGCTTTTCTCCAGTCTATTCAGGTCCAGATCCGACAAGTTCAGTGCACACTCTACTAACTATCGTGATTCCATAGAGGCATCATCGTCTTCTTCCCCTTCTTGGTTATCAACAATCTTCTCCGGAGGTCGGAGAAAGCAATCAACGCAACTATCCACGGGATACACCGGCTCGGTTAGTGGAAAGCCTCGACAGAGGTTAGATCGAGGAATGTCGCCAGCGAGAGGCTCGGATTCTGAAGAGGATTGTGAGAATTGCGATCGGTCACCTTCAGGGAGCGGCTTCTCGGTGGAGTCTTCGCCAGGGTGGAAGAAGACACCAGTCTCTCAGGCTTCCATGCGGCGAGGGAAGGCGGGACACACTAGGAACGTGTCTGGATTGACGTTTTGCTTGAGTCCTCTTGTGAGGGCGAGTCCTAACCGGAATTGGAGCCAGAAGGGAGGATTGCCGCCTGATTTGGGACTTTCTGGTGAGATTAGGGCACCAGTAAAGCCGCATCTGTCTGCTGCGGCCTCGTTTTGCGCGAACCGGTCGAGGAAGCTTGCCGATTTTGGAAGAGTCAATCACAACCGTTAAGAGTGATGACTATTTCGCGATAGTGTTGATGCTGATATATCTGAATTACGGTTTTGTCCCATCCAAATTCTCTGTTTATATATATATAATTCTGTCTCAGCATGATTTACAAGTTAAATTATAACGAGAGGAAGGGAAGACTGCTTACTGAAGGAAAATTAAAACTAGAAAAACCTAAAGTCTTTTTGGTTCTTTGCATGCATTACTGATGTTTATTACTACCATAATCGAAAATATTTTTTTCTTGTGTAATTTGAGAATTTATTTTTCTACATTTTAATGGATCGAGCCACATGAGCAATAAAAGAAATTGTCTGGAAAAAAAATATTCTTTTTTCTTCTGGTTTTATAGTATGAGGTATGTTTAAATTAGTTTTCGAATATAATAATTAAATTATCTCTATATTTATTAACCAAGAGTAGGGAATACTGTGTTACAAATATTTACTGTGACTTGTTTTTGCTTGAAATTTGAATCCTCAAGCAAACAGTCGTCGGACATTAATGAGAAGTAAACCTAAGTACCTGAAAATTTAAAATCGGACCGGTTTATTCCGGTCACATGTTTTGACCCTTTTTTTTTATTTCTTCTAATGGTCTGTTCTAGCCATTAATTAAATAAATATTGATAGAGGTTCTTTTAAAGAGAGAGAAGGATTATTCGATGGTTTCAGGTGATGAAAGCCTTGACTTAAAAAAAGAAGGTATAATAGCCAATCAAACTAATACATCTGTATGTTCTTTTTGTTTTTGTTTTTTTTTTTTTTTAATTTATCAAGAGTTTTATTACATCTTGGACTACACGATAAACCCTCTCTCATTAGATGATAGTCAAATAAATTAGAGTTACTAGGACGTTATTAAGTGCTTAAACACTATTTTTTCAAACAATTTTTTTTATTTGAAAAAATATTATATTGATTTTTTAAATTAATTTAATATATTTAATACCAGAATAATTTATTAAAGATAACAGCATTTAACCCCTGTTGTTATTGTTTAATACCACTGTCGGTTTAAAAACAATGTAGACTAATCATACGGAGTATATTAGTGATTGAGGGAGTGATGTTCATGTTCCCCACTAGAATTACACATAAGACAAGCAAATGGGTGGGTAGTCTGGGTGGTTGAAGAGGTTGATGAAGAAGCTCGAAAGAATTAATTGTGTATTTTCTTATGCAGATGGACCTGTTTTTCAGAACGCTAAATTGATACTTTTTTTTATTTTCAAATAAATTTGACATGTTTTCAGAACGCTAAATTGATACTTTTTTTTTTTATTTTCAAATAAATTTGACGTTGAGATATTAAAAAAAATCTAAAAAAGTATTTTGATATATTTTTTTTTGTATGAAAATACATTGTAACTTGTTAATAAACACACTAAAAATGAGGTGCTAATGCGTCAAATTTTGAGAGTTATTTTTTAAAAACTAATTTGGACATTAATATTTTAAAATAATTCAAGAATATATATAAAAAATAATTTTTAATAAAAGCATTCAACTTTTAACAAAATGGTGGTTGTGCTGCCCATCCAAACACCGCCGGTCCATTCTGGGTGGGTGGTGGAACCCACAGATTTTAAGGGATAGCTAGCAAATAGCAATGCACATGCTACATGGGCTATGGCTCATTTAAGCCAAGCAAGAAACGTATGGATTGTGCAAACTAAGGCTTGGCCTAACGGTGGAAATGACTTATCTCTTTTCACTGCATCTGGGTTCAAGCCCTAACGTACATGTCTGTCATCCCCGCAGTGCCTTACATGCCTACTGGGTTTGCAGGATATTCAGTGGGCCGTGAGGATTAGTCGTGGTACGTGCACGCTGGCCCAGACACCCCACATAAATAAATAAATAAAAAAACATATGGATTGTCTGTCGCAAGAAACCTCCTCAATGGTGGTGGTTCCTGATCCTGATGGGTGGCTAAACATACAGATAGCACACCATTTAATGGAGGGACTCCCTCCCAAGAGGGCAGTGAGAGCTAGCAATAAATTTACTTTCCAATGAAGGAAAAAATAAGATACAATGGAAAGAACATGAAAATGAAAAAAAAGGACTAATTATATTGTAAAATACAATCCAGCAATGCCTTGATCAACATTAATTTATTAATTTTTTCCCAGAATTTTCTTCTTTACTAATAAAATCTCCCATTCTTGGCTGTTTATCTTTTCTATTTTCCAATAAAGGAAAAAACAAAATATAATGGAAAGGGCATGAAATTGGAAAAAAAAGGACTAATTAGTTACTTTTAATATAGACTACGATGACTTGGACAGAATCAACTCTTTAATAAAGGGAAGGTGGCGGTGGTGTCAGCCGTCCATCTGGTGGGGCCGGAGGAGTTAAATGTCCTGACCAAATCTTCTTTATTAACGGTCAGAAAAAAGCAGGGTCATATGATCTAGGGAAAAAACCCTTCTTCTTCGATCTATTGATGTTCGATTTCTCAGAGAACACAACACGATTCGTTACTATCAACGTCCTTTTTTGTTGTCTTGAACAGTTGGATCGTGGAGACCACCCTCCTCCTCTCGCCGCCAGTTTTTGTTCAACCCTAGTTTAATTCTTCTGCGAAGTTTCTTCAGTTGCAGTCAAACAAGAAAGTGTAAACACCAAAAATTTAATAGCCAGGCATGGAAAGATTAGTCGAGTTAAATATACTTCAATTTATATTCGCATTTAAAACTTTATTATGAAACGTATTGAATTATTTTTATTTTAATATAAAAATAAAAAATTATCTTTGTATATTTTTAAAAAGTATAGAATTAGAACTTCTTAAGCACAGGAAGTAGTAAAAATGAAATTATAAATGAAAGAAAATATAGACGGTGGTTCGATGACATCTTAACATGTTTTAAATTAAAGTTCGAGGAGGTAATTAGAGAAGTAGGGAATTAATTGTGGAGTTGGTTAGTTTAAGGTCTGGTTCCTGGAACTTTTGAACAAGAGTATAAATTTAATTGTCTTATTTATAGTTTCTGACCTTTCCATGTGAATTGAATCAAGAAAATCATGATCCACGTTAATGGGAAAAAATAAGAATGGTTGACCTTTTCTTTTTCTAAAGTACATCTTGTCCATTTTGTGGCCACATGTTTTTTTTAGAAAAATTAAAAGTTTTTTTATTTATGCATTTGAAAAGTATTTTAAAAAAAATTGAAATTTTTTTATTTACTTCAAATTAATATATTTTTAATATTTTTAAATTATTTTGACGTATTAATATCAAAAATATTTTTTTTTAAATCATTAATATGTATTTTAACATAAAAAATTATTTTAAAAGTAATCACAATCACACTTCAAAACAAATTTTAATATGTATTTTAACATAAAAAATTATTTTAAAAGTAATCACAACCACACTTCAAAACAAATTCTAAATTTCGTGTGGAGAATTTCATGGTACATCGGAAGTATTTGATATTGATATTATGTTAATTATTTTTCAAGTTTATTTTAAAGAAAAATATATGTATAAAAAAACAAAAAATTAATTTCATAACCCATTAAAAATAATTAGAATATCTTTAGTGAGAATTTCTTTTTTCTACTTATATATCTTTATTTCTTTAAAATGGATCATAGAAAGAAGTTATTAGTTACTCAACAAAACCAGTATAAAATTTATTATTTTGTTTGGTGTATTGTATTAATTCTAAAACATAGCTAATTAATTTTAGTTGTATTTTATTTAAAAATACTTTTTGATTAATATTTGTTCTAATTTCACATGTTTTGTTTTGAAATCAAAAGAATAATTATTTTAAAAGAAAATCATCTTGCTTTTAAAAATAAGCATGGAATCCCTTACTTTTAACCGCGAGTATAGCTGCTTATTACGAGTTTCATTTAACTAAAACAATAAAAAAAATTCATTTTTTTTTTAAATTATACATTTTAAATATGCCACTGTTTTATTATATAATTATATTTTGACTATTTAATTGTTTTTAATATCTATAAGCACAACAATTCAATAACTAAGTTATCAAATTTTATTTTTATCCCGTCGAATAACACCAAAGAACACAACACAACAATACCAAAGAAACCATATACCACTTCTAATCCAGATTTTGAGTTTAAATGCGGAGCACTTGACTTATGATTCAAGGTTAATTGCTATACCCACTAACAGTAGTTCTTACGATCAATCTGATGTTGACTTGCAAGTTTTTAGTGGAGATGTGTCCCTTGACTCGGATTAAAATCATGTATAATACTTCAAACTAAAATTCTGTAGTCTTATTCAGGGTAGGTTGTCGTGCTAGGTAGAGTTCAAATTAAAAATCACAACCTTAGTAATCATCTAGTTAGTGGTCAAGTGGTAAAGACTTGGGACTAAGGGATTTGCTCTCTCTGTAGTCTCAGGTTCAAGTCCTTGGTTGCTCATATAATGGCCACTGAAGACTTATATGTTCG